TATATATATATATATATATATATATATATATATATATATATATATTCTCTATTTTTTTGTCCCTCCCCAGCAATGGCTCTTTTCATGCTTCCTGGCTTCCACAGGCATCCAAGACAAATACACACATCTAAAAATTAAGGTAGGATCCACATTTGAGAGGGATAGTTTGTCTTCCCACATCTGGATTATCCTACTGACACATGATCTTAAACTAACATAACCTCGGAAGGTGTAAGTCAAAATTAATTGTCACGTGGCAGATAACCACTGTGTCTTGTCAAAACAAAGCAAATAACGCAAGGTTAGTCTGCCCTTCACCCAGCATCAATGAAGTTGTAGGTTTTGCCTTTAAAAAAGGCTGTACCTCTGACCTTCAGCACCAAGAGTCTTTGGGGCCTGAGCCCACTCTTGGTCAATGGCCAAAATTCAAGGACTTTTAAATGCTTACATGGCTAAATTAGCATGGTGGTCCGTATCTTCCTGGCATAGATTTCTTATAGTACCACACTTCCACTACATTCATCTCCAGTGCCACCCGAGCCCTGGACATCTAGACGGTTTCCACGTCCTCTCTATTATGACCAGGGCAGCAAAAAACACAAAGGTGCAAGCAGAACACAGAGTCCCTATGTGGAGGAGGAACCTTCCTCAGAAGCTACACACTTGACAGGGGAATAAGAGCTACAATACACATAAAAAAGGCGTAAACAGCAAGAGCAAGTGATAGAGTAAAGAACACACTATAGAACTCTCAACAGAACACGCACATGCACACATGGGGGAAAACAATGGCTTTAAAAACTTCTCAACACCCTTAGCCATCGGGGACTTGTAAATTAAACTATTTTGGGGTCCATTTTACTCCAGTGAAAATGGGCAGCATTGAGAAAGCGATGACACCTAATGATGGTGAGGATGTGGGAAAAGTGGAAGCTTTCCCACTGTTGGTGGAAGAGTAAGCCAGGACAGGTGCCGGAGGAATCAACATGGAAATTGCTCAGGTGGCTAACAATAGTACTACCACATAAGTGAGTCTATCTTGCTCAATGGAACAACTATTTCATTGACTTACGTACCCCCAACTGTACCAGCACTGAACTGTTTCCTGATTCTATGTCTCTGTTGTATAACTTGAAATCAAGCATGGTGATATCTCTAGCATTAGTATTGTTGTTCTGGATTGCTTGCAATTTCTAAGATTTTTTTTTTTTTATAATTTTAAGACACCTTTCTATCTCTGTGAAGAATTGGGGAGTTTTAGTAGAGATTTTATTGAACCTACAGATTTTTTTTTTTTTTGTAGAAAAAAACAACAGCATTTTTTGTGTGTGAGAGGTCTTCCTTCTTCTGGGATCTTCCTCAATTCCTTTCATCAGTGTTTTTAAGTCTTTATCATGGAGATCATTTATTTCCTTGTTTAGGTTTATTCCAAGGTATTTTGTTATTTTGAGACTCCTGGGAACAAAATTGTTTCCTTGATTTCTTTCTCAGTGCACTTGTGGGCTATAGGAAAGCTACTGATTTTTGTGTATTAATTCTGTATCCTAACACTGGAAAGGATACAGAATTTATTAGCACTCAGAATTTCTGGTGAGTGTTCAGGTCTGTTATGTGTGGACTCATGCTCTCTGCAAACAAGGAGATTCTGACTTCTCCCCTTCTCATCTGTGTCTGTTCCTTTCTCTTGTCTCACTGCTTTAGCTAAGACTTTAAGCACTGTACTGAGTAGGACTAGAGAGTGCAGACTGCCTGGCCTTATTCCTATCTTAGCAGAAATGCCTTGAGCTTCTCCAGGTGTCATGCTGTTGGCTGCAGGTCATCCAGGCTGGATCATGCTGAGAGACATTTCCTCCATTCAGTCTCCTCAGGGTTGTTTTCATGAAAAGGTGTTGGATTTTGTCAAGGTCCTTTCCAACATCTATGGAAATGATCATTTAATTTTTGTCCTTGAGTTTATTTATGTGATGTACTATGTACTATATTTATATATAATGAGCCATCTCTAAATCTATAGAATGAAGAGATTCATTCACAATTCAATCCCAATGAAAAACTGTTTTCATGTGTTCTTGAAATTAGTTTGCAAGTATTTTACTGAAAATGTTTGTGTCTTTGATCACCGATTGTTTTTATATTCTTCTCTCTTTCTCTATTCTTGGTATCAGTGTTAACTAGCACTATAAGATGAATCTGAAACTATTCCTTCCTTTCCTATTTTAAGGGGTCTCTTGAGAAAACTTAGTGATAGTTCTGTGAAGACCTGCTAGAATTCTACACTGGCTCTATTTGAGCCTGGACCATTCGTCTTGGCATATTACCACTTCTATCTCATGCACATTCTTTAACTCATCTGGATTTGACATTGCAGCAATAATAAACTGCACCACGGTATTTTAAAAAGGGAAGGCAAGTTGCATTGAGGAGGACTTGGCAAGAATGCTAACACATTGCCAACTTATCCATCTGGGTTTTGTTTTTTATTTTTGTTTTTTTTTTTGTTTTTTGTTTTTTTTATCCATACTAAGTAGTCCTGGGAACTCCCTTCTCCCATCTCTCTCATGCACAGAGAACTTGCCTATGAAACCCAAAATGAAGCCAAGGGCGTTTCTCTAAATTCCAAAGGAAACAGAAACTACAAAACAAGTTCAGATCACCCAGCTAAGGGGATTTCCACTGTGTTGTCTGATGGAAGGCGTGGCTGTCACTGTCCTGGTTTCACATCAGTTGTCCATAGTTGCTCAAAGAGAATTTGGACATTGTTTGTAATTGTTTTAAGCATGGTTTGTTTATTTTATCTCTTTTTAAAGAGGGTGATGCTGTCCTTAGTTTGGAAGCAGATACCAACTGCTGTTGCATTCACATAGGGTAAAATTTATTTCCTTGTTAGTAGGGTGGCCAGGGACCACAGGGCCCATATTTTGGGTTCTTAAATCTCACACATAAGAAAGATCAAGAATCACAGAGTGAAAGAGAGCACACACTGCAGGGAATAGCTAAAGGATCCGCCATGCTTGCTAGTCTGTGTTCAAGGTAGGCTTTATCCTATTCTGAAGGTCCCTAGAACAGGTTTCCTGGGGACCAGATTCCTGTACAGGTGATTGGCAGGCCCTGTGGGATCTTCCTCCTATGTGTGGGGGGTGTTTACTCCACCTACTGAGGAGAAGGCTGTGCACAAGAGCAGGAAGCTAACATTCTGCATGGGTGCCCATCCACGTGGCTGG